TCCACCCGATCCATTACGTAACGCGTCATTCTGCATTTACCTTTATATGAAACTCCAGGTTTTCATCCATGGAATAGATGTGATCAAAGATGTCATGTGCAATTCTTGGAATGATTCCCATGAGCTGAGGGTCATGCAGCTTTCCCTGTGGACACAAAACCAAACCATAACTTAGAAAGCCTTGCTTAGGCACAAGAGAGGAGAAAGCCTTGTCCAAACACACCTTCCTCCAGTGGGCCCCTATGAACGTGACTGCGGCTCTGGGGGGATTTGCTTGATGTAAGTGCACAGAAAAGGTGGCAGAATGACTCAACATGTTAGGACTCTTCACCCAACAGAGCACCTATTTGTTTTGTCAGCCCCTGTCGTTTGCCAAGTGTGCTTCCCTGCCACTATTTACACTGTCACACTCTGACCAAAGATAGGCAAATGAACCCAAACAAATGTACAAATTACAGCCTGGTTCTCCCAGTTAAATCAGATATTTGGAAACATGTCAGAAACAAGAAGTATTAAAGCATTTTGTTTCTCTTTCCCCACTATGCTAGAAAGCTAAAGGGAAATCTGGGTTGCAGGGATTTGGGGATTAGAGTAATGTATTCTGATTTGAGCTTGCTGGGCCTACTGCCAGCGAACCGTGCCTTACAAACACTACTGTTCTCCATGTTAATTTGCACAACTACCTTCCTCTATTCTTTCAAGAACAGAATAGTGACTAAAAACAACAATTTCCCTGGCTGCATGCCTCCTTTTAACTGCATTGCTCTTTTTCAAAAGCCAGACACATACAGGAAAGCTACCACCACATGAAAACTGAATAGAAATATAAACTCAGAATAAGAACCCTTCTGACTACAGCATACACTGTATTGCTATTTCCAAATGTTTTATGAAACGCTTAAATGTGCAATAACAAGTCAGTAGTTGTAAGACTCCATCAGAACACAGAGTCTAGAAACTCTAATATACCTTTGGAATAGATCTTTGTCCAAGTATTACTGTCTGTATCAGCACAGCAAAGCGTCTTACTCCTAAGAGTGGTAGGGAGGAGAGGGGGGGGGGTTTTTTTTTTTTTTTTTTTAAATATAGTGGGTAACAATACAATTCTAAATCATGGGAACTCAGATTTGATCTGTAACTGCTAAAAATTACTAAACACCAAGATTTTTTTTTTAGTAAAATAGGAAGAAAATCTTGCACACAGACGTGTGTTTCTCAATATTACGCATGTTTGTGAATGACCAGTGGGTTTCTCAGCCTTTATTAGTATACTCAGATGTAGTCTTTCTAGACATCGCTTCCTTTATGCTAAAGCTGGTGAAATGACAGTCAACTTCTAAGCATCAACCTAGGATGAAGGAAATTTAACATGAAGCGCTGACACAATCTCTCCCTCTATCTCAGAGCTTGTCTTTAAAGCAGTTACTAGGTTTCTGCCCTTGAATTTACACATCATGGGGAAAAAAAGCAGGGGGGGATACAGATAAATCAGTTCCATTGGTGACTGCCTTCCCTATAAAGCAGCACTCAGCTGTATCTAAACCATGAATATTTTATTTATATTATACAAATAATATTATCTTCTGCAGTGGAAGCAGTTAAATGCTGTACCTTATCCAACATCTTATTAAGCTCCTCAAAAACTGCAAAGTCCTTGTTGTATGATACACCATTTTATTTCAGGCTATGAGAATGAAAAAGAGGGTGATTAAATAAAGTAAATCCCTGACAGAGGGGAAAACTTGTATGCACAAACACACACTTAAACCAAACCCCAACACTTTGTTTTACCTTGCCAGCACATCACTCGGTTCCATCACATGGCACTGTTACTGAGCAGAGACCGTAATACCATTTTCACACTATCCATCCCTTCTCCCTGACTACCTTGTAGTACTGCACGGAGAGAGTTTTCCCAAAGAGAGGAAAGGAGTTTTTCCTAAACTAGAACAAACAGAGATTGGCTGGTATTTCTTCGGCGCACACAAATGCCACCAAAGGTACGTCTATGCTATACAGCACTGCAGGATGCACGATTCCTAAGGCAGCTACAGAACAAGAAATGCTGGAGCGATGCAGTGCCTCCTTTTCTCTAGTAGCTTGGATCGAGCTGGGCCGTTAGCTCAGCCAAAGCACAGCTGGAATTCAAAGTTTTATTGCAGAGACTTCTGTCTGCACAGAGGTGCATCAGCTTTGGGATCACTGACTGCACTAGGTAAACCTTTCCCCTAATAATTGGGTAAGTGACAACTTATAGAGGTATTTAATTAAACATTCTCCCAGCCTCAACAAGCCCTGTAGTCATTATGCTTTCATTTACATAGCCTTCTCTAGCTCAGAAGAGAAAGCAATCTGCAAAACATGATTAAGTGTACATCTATCTCAACCACTGCACCTACAACTTCTTGGGCGGGGGCTTTCTCGCTATTTAAGTTGGCAGAAACTTCAGGGAAGCAAGACCACGTTCACTGCTTTGTGAAGAAAGAGTTCAGATCTTTCAAACGCTCTAACACCAGCACTCTGTGATGTATTGGGGAAAAAAAAATCATTTTTACTTTATTATCAACGGATTTTTATTAAAACAAGAGATGACTGAAGCAGGTCCCACTCTAATTTATGGAGACCATAAAGTGGAAGGGAAGAGAAAGGCAAAGGTAGGCTATTCACTGGAAAGCTGGAATCAAAAAAAAAAAAAAAGCAAACACACACTCATGGATTTAGCTGTAACCTCAGAAAGAGTTTGGAGAAATGTGCTGCTGCCGCTGCCATGCTGACACTGCAGTTAGTAAACTCCCCCAGAGCACCAGGACAGAGAGTTCTCTGCTCATTAAAGCCTCTCATTTTAATAAGAACATTAATTTCCACATTTAAACATAGCAGGCAGGCAGTAGCTAGTGAAGTGTAACGTTTCAGACAGTGCTGTTTTATTCCAGGATGTTGACATAATCACTACAATCTATAGGGACCCACTATTGAAAATGCTATTATAAGGTCAAAGCCCATCAATATAATCTTATGGGCAAAACCACATAATTTTTAAGAAGGTTTTGGCTATATCCTCCTATACAGGTTGGCAAATGTTTTATCTAGCACAGGAGAAAGATCTATGTATGTCAGAAAGCCTATCCTGGCTATATCATACTACCGTGTCCTGTTTAAGCTTAACACTAACACTATGAAGTATTTCATGTTTCACAGAAAATCCTCCATAACAGCTTTATCGAGAGGATTTACTATTTCTTCAACTTCAGACTATTTTTTTCTTCCACAACATACTTTAGCAACTTTACAAGAGGATGTTAGGTTAAAAGGGGATTAAAACTGAATATAGATTTGATTCCACTTTAAAATGTCAGCTTTTTCTTTATTAAAGAAGTAAACCAGCCATTTTTCTACAGTCATTTTCTTTATCACAGCTTGTAATTCCAAACACAACTTGGCTTTAAGAGATCTTTC